TGCAAAATCTTCTTTCTTCAGGATTCCTTTTTCTATGTGAAGTTTTTTGCATTTGTCTAAGCCAAACTCCATTTGTATGTCCTTAGTGTATGAGTGTGTGATTTGTAGGAGTTGATGAAGTTGTTTCTGTGTGGATGCATAAAGTTTTATGTCATCCATGTACATGAGATGTGACAGCGTAAACTGTGTTGTTTTTTCATATCTGATATTGTAGCCATAATGCATGTTGTTTAACAAGTTGGATAATGGGTTCAGGGCTAGGCAGAACCAGAGAGGACTCAAGGAATCTCCTTGAAAAATTCCTCGCCTAATGAATATCTCGTTTGTATGGAAGTGTTACTAACCCTGAGTTATTATTATTATTATTATTAAAGAGTAATTTTTATCTTGATTCTACAAAAATCCTTTAAAAGTTAAATAAGTGAATATCTGAATTTAAAATAATTAAATACAATAATAAATTTTTTAGGATATTATTTTAAAATGTTACAAATTATTCTAAATGAGAAACTTTTATTTATTTATTTATTTTAAAATTGTATCTTTGTTTTTCATATTAAAACTAAATATTTTAAAAATATTTACATGATAAATTTTTTATACCACAGCTATCAAATAATAAGCAAAAATTGTTCTATAGAACAATTTTTGCTTATTATTTGAATAAATATGAAAAAAGTTGGCAGTTATTACAATGATTACAAGAATTACAATGATTTGATATGTTAAGGAAGCTTCTCAAATGTAAATTCAATTCAAAATCTGTTATGAAAACACAAAAGTCATTAAGAGAAACTTGCATCTTCTCTTGATCTCTTGAAGAGGAGATGCAAGATTAAGTTACGCTAAATAATAATCTGACATTTCTTAATATTTATTTTTCTTGTTGACTACTGATGATGGGAGCATAGTTTGACTGTGCTTGAGGTTCATGAAAGGTTTTCATTCTTATAAAAGTAATTTGAATTGAATTACTTGTTTTTGTCATATAAAAATAGGAAATTTTAGAATGAATTATTTAAGTCATGTAAATTATTTTTGAATTTTCAATATTTAATTTAAATTGAATTTGTTATAATACAGTAATACCTTGACTTACGCTACCCTGACTTATGCGAACCCGGAGTTACGCGATTTTCAAATCTCGTTGATTCGCTTTTGTTTGAATGCCACGCAACTCTTGATTACTCACTCCCCCAACACTATTGTTTAGCTTACATGTTCAGACGTGTCGCGCGGAATTGAAACATAGCTACAATTTATTTTGTGTTATTTATTTCTGTGTTTGTTATATCTACAGAGACATGAGAGACTCTATGTGGTGATTTCTTGTAACTATGAACGAATCAACAGACGAGATAAGATTAACGAGAACATTTATTAGCATACATACATCCAACTTTGAGTTTACACAAATTGCGAAATTATACCCCGACTTATGCGGTTATCACTTGGTCCCACCTATCACGTAAGTTCAGGGTATTACTGTATTAATTTGTTAAGTTTTCATCAAGCATGATATTGATATATACACACACATGCACACAAATTTCAATTTCTTAATGAAATGTATTATTTGTTAGTAATTCTTATATATATAATTAACAATTTAAGATTATTATATTAAAAAAAATTGAAAAAAATCAGATTATATGAATTATGTAAGATTCTTCATTATTGTAAGAAAAGTTTCATTATTTCACTTAAATTTTATAAAAATATTTTACAGAACAAAAAATTGAGAACAATACAATTTTAGTAATTAATAATTAATATTTTGTATTTTATAACTTTTTCTATAATATGTTTATGCAAAAATATATTCATTTATAAGTTTTATTTTCATCAAATTATGTCTTTTTAAAGTACAATGCAGTAAAGTAAAATTGACAAAGTTTAATTGTATTAAAAGATGTAATTTTTATGTTTATAATTATAAATATTTTTAAATTCTTAGACTTTAGATTTGACAAAACATCTATTACTATATGAAGGTATACTTACGTGGCGTTTAAACAAACAGAAGTCAATTGAAGTGCATGTAATTTTATTAGAAGATATCCTTGTTTTACTACAAAAACAAGAGGAAAAATATTTTTTAAGGTTTCACAACACTAATATTCTTAGTGGTCGTGAAGATACTAAAGTTGCTCATAGTCCAATTTTGAAACTGCCTCACTTGTTTACTCGTGATGTTGCGACAGGTAATTATTTCTCCTTTAAATGTTGTGATAATATTTTAATAGTTTATAAAATCTATTTGTTCTAATTAATTAGATTTACAGTACACTCTCAGTTAACTGGCAGCCATAGGAATTGTTACATGCCAAATAAATATAGTTTTTGTTTGCTTAAGAGTTACTGTTAAAAATAGGCATAACTAATACTGCATTTCATACTGCACGTACCATGTGTGGGATATGCGAAGATCCGTAAGGTTAATATTCACAGGAGTGAATGAAGTGGATTACCACAAGGAGAGACAAGCACAAGAGATACTTAAAAACTAACTTTTTATGTACAAAAAATGTATATACAATATCCCCAAAACCTATGATACATGGCACATGGCAGTTCAATAAAGAATCCTTTGGCAAAGAACAATCAAACAAGTCTGAGAAACAGGCTGAAAATATTCACTCGGTGATATTCTATACCGGCTAATATTTCACTTATACAAAGTTTGTATCATGTTTCGCTATTCCTTTCACCGATGGAAACGGATTGTAAAACCACAAATCTCCACCACAACAAACGAAGAGAACAGTTCACCATACACAGCTACAATGGGACGACACACTCCCACAAGCTTAGCACTAGGAACCAGAATGCCCAGTTGCCGGTCCTGCACACCATATATCACCTCCACTGCCGACACAGTGCTGGCATACAAAAAACGCCCAAAACACAAAAAAAAAAAAAAAAAACATTGACAGTAGACAAAATATATATATACACTAAAAGATTAAACAGAAGCAAAAGAAAACAAATTTTTTTACAAGACAACAAAGACCGACAATATAAACAAAGACGACACACGTGCCATAAACTTTGTATTGACCTAGATATTAATATTGAAATACAGTAATTAAAAGTAAATTAAAACAAATAAAGATAACTTAATGTAACACAGTTTTATTATAAAAACATCTTTGTCAATGTAGTATGCAATTTTAGTTAAATGGTAGTCAATAAACTTGTGAAATAAACTTGTGGCATGTGAACCCTGGACTTACTTGTGGCATGGTATGCCAAGTTTAAACTTACCTTTCCACTAGAAATTGATTTTATTTTAATTTTTATTTAAACTATTATTTCTTTAATTTTTTTGTCAGTTGCTTGAGTTCCAGTTAACAGAGAGTCTACTGTATTATTTAAAAATACATTAAATAAAGAATTTTATATAAAAAATTTGCTTTCTAGAAGCTCACATTGATGAAGAGCTATTGAAATGCCATCAGTAAGACAGTAATATTGTGAACTAAAATTGATGATTGTAATACATGCATTGTTTTAGTGACTATTGTTCTGTAAATAAATTTAAAAACCTTCAGCATGGTTTTCAGTTTTTCAAAAATTATTCTTTACATTGCACGTTGTTATACTGTTTTTATGTAGAATTTATTAAGTTTTGCACATAGAATTTAGAAAGAACATGTATATTCTTTTTATATTCTACATATGTTCTACATTATATATAATTATATTCATTTTTATAACTGAAGTATAACTAAATATTTTAAAAATATTTACATGATAAATTTTTTATACCACAGCTATCAAATAATAAGCAAAAATTGTTCTATAGAACAATTTTTGCTTATTATTTGAATAAATATGAAAAAAGTTGGCAGTTATTACAATGATTACAAGAATTACAATGATTTGATATGTTAAGGAAGCTTCTCAAATGTAAATTCAATTCAAAATCTGTTATGAAAACACAAAAGTCATTAAGAGAAACTTGCATCTTCTCTTGATCTCTTGAAGAGGAGATGCAAGATTAAGTTACGCTAAATAATAATCTGACATTTCTTAATATTTATTTTTCTTGTTGACTACTGATGATGGGAGCATAGTTTGACTGTGCTTGAGGTTCATGAAAGGTTTTCATTCTTATAAAAGTAATTTGAATTGAATTACTTGTTTTTGTCATATAAAAATAGGAAATTTTAGAATGAATTATTTAAGTCATGTAAATTATTTTTGAATTTTCAATATTTAATTTAAATTGAATTTGTTATAATACAGTAATACCTTGACTTACGCTACCCTGACTTATGCGAACCCGGAGTTACGCGATTTTCAAATCTCGTTGATTCGCTTTTGTTTGAATGCCACGCAACTCTTGATTACTCACTCCCCCAACACTATTGTTTAGCTTACATGTTCAGACGTGTCGCGCGGAATTGAAACATAGCTACAATTTATTTTGTGTTATTTATTTCTGTGTTTGTTATATCTACAGAGACATGAGAGACTCTATGTGGTGATTTCTTGTAACTATGAACGAATCAACAGACGAGATAAGATTAACGAGAACATTTATTAGCATACATACATCCAACTTTGAGTTTACACAAATTGCGAAATTATACCCCGACTTATGCGGTTATCACTTGGTCCCACCTATCACGTAAGTTCAGGGTATTACTGTATTAATTTGTTAAGTTTTCATCAAGCATGATATTGATATATACACACACATGCACACAAATTTCAATTTCTTAATGAAATGTATTATTTGTTAGTAATTCTTATATATATAATTAACAATTTAAGATTATTATATTAAAAAAAATTGAAAAAAATCAGATTATATGAATTATGNAATTTTTAAATTAAATTAAATAACTAAAAGTTCATATTTAAGTTTTTGTAGATCTAATATATTTGTTCAATTTATACAGCTAATACAGAAGAACATAGTAATTTAATGAAAGCATTAGAATGTAGTAGACAAATTCTTTCTTATGTAAATCAAGCTGTAAAAGAAGCTGAAAATCAGCATAGGTTAAATGAGATACAAAAGAAGCTTGATAAATCTGCATTAGAAAAAGTTGATCATCCCATAGCCCATAATTATAAAGTAAGCATAATATTTTCTCTCTTTATTTATTTATTTAGAAATTTCATTTGGACATTTAAAAAAATAACAATACAGTAGAGCATCAATTATCTGAATCAATTTGGGACTGGGGTTGTTTGGAAAATTGATTTTTCGGATAACCGATTATGTACGAAAAAATATATTAACCTATCCCATGTTGAAATTCGTTCAAATCCTGGCATGTCCTTAAGTACCCTCTCATGATCGTGCTAGTGCTGTCAGCTAAAACATTCACACCAACAAAAATAATATTGGAGTAGCCCAAAACATAGCCAAAGATTGCAGTGCCACAGCTCTAGCGGAAATTTAAATTTGCCGACTGGAAAGCTTTCGGTTAATTGACGTTTTGGATGATCGACATTTGGATAATTGATGCTCTACTGTATATGATATTTAAATAATAAAATTGATTCTAATCGCTAAACCACTTAATGCTTTATTGGAGATATTGGTATACAGTTGGGTATGCCAGAATGAATGATGCTACAACTGATAGTTTTTATCTACAAAATTAAAATGTTACAATGAATATACTGTAGATGTTACAATGAACATGGAAGAATATTATTAGCTGATATAGCTCTTGCATGCTCTTGACATGTCAAGGTTTTTCCACTTTGATTAGAGCATTAAACTTTGTCTTTATTATAGTTTTAAGGTTCAAATATTTGTTTATTTGCATCTTTTGCTTATTTGCAATAAAAATATATTTTTAAAATTATTCTGCTATATAATTTTAGCCATGAGCCAGCAAAATAGAGTGAGAAACTTAATAAACTTAGAAACTAAGAAAGAAATAATTTTCAAGTGAGAAAGTGGAAAAAGTGTAAGAGATTGGAGTGCTGAATATGGTTTGGATAAATCAACAATCAGTATGATTTTAAGAAAATAAGAAAAGAAGAAATAATACACACATTGAAACGGAAATCTCTAGATTAAACAATTTATGTTCTAATATCATGGATCAGATGGAAACTCTTCAGTTTGGATTAGTGAAAAACAAATGGCAGTTATTATGGAAAATTTATTCATACTTTTAATAAGGAAAGATTTTATATGCTTTTCGAATTTACAGATATAATGTATAAAGTTAAATTAATTAGAAACACTATCTTAAACTGGATGTATGCAATATAATAACACTTCCAAACCTAAAATTCAGTTAAAAGAACAGAAACATTTATTACAAAACAAACACTTTTAACCTTTACAAATGCCAGTCTGAGGTTATAAAGGTAGAATGCAAATCAAACAACGAGATAAATTTGAAAGAAAATGTTTCTTGCATAAGAAGTTCCCATGCACAGGAGCTTAGTAATATATTATAAATTAAAACAAACACAGAAGAAAAGTGACATATACAAAAAATATAAATAATTACAGATAACAAAAAGTCACAAAAAACAATAAATGTACTAAGATGAACTGTTTATAAAACATTACATGGTTGTTAAATGTGCTCAAATACCACCCTCTAGGCATGCAACATAGAAGCTGTGCTCTAGATATAACATTGTATCAATATATCTCAATAATCTCAAGATATTTTAGATGCAATGGTAGTGCATTTTTATGCTGTGTCATCACAGATTTTTGGGCTATACATAATTTTTTAAAATTTTATTTTGGGTTGTATAGGGGGTTGTCAGCATGCTAGTAGGGAAGGGATACTTAAGGAAGTGTGGATTGGCAACATCACTCTTTTTTCTGCCTGATGAGGATTTACTCTGGTGAGACTATGAAAGGTGTATTTTCTTTGTGTTGGGGTGCATCGAGTAACCATGTGGTGCAGTTAGAAGTATGTGCAGGTTTTGTGTTATCGGACATAAAGTAAAAATCCATTTGCATCAACAAAAGTATTGAACATTTAGAACTTTGTGTTAGAATTATGAACTACAAATAGTGAACATTGTCTGAGGAGTATTTTTTTTGTGATTGATTCACGTGCATTTTAACATCAAGGATTCACTCATATCCAGCTCTGAATACCGACAAGTGTGTTTGGAACATAGGTGCGTATATATGTATCCTAGTGCATCTTGTAATTCTTGTATGTGTGTAAATATACTTATATATATATATATATTAAGTTTATGTACAATATATATATATATATATATATTGTACATAAACTTAATTTTTAGCAACTTTCCTTTGTCTCTCTCATCTCGTGGTAATCACACATCCACACAATAGTTTGCTTTGGATTATTGTGCTTTACACAATGCAGAAGGTGAGCTTTGTCAAAATGAACCTCTACATCTTCATCTGATGCATAGGCAACCAAGGCCATACCTCCTGTTTTTCTAGTCCTGGTGTTCCTTGAGTTTATTGAGATATACAATGCTATCTCTATAGGAATGGCTATCAACAGCAGGGACATGGCTCCTCTGAAGGGCAGTATTTGAGCACATTTAGCAATTGTGTAATCTATACTAATATTATAAAGAGGTAATGTTTGTAAGTTTGGATGTAACAGGTAATCTCTGAAACTACTCATCCGATTTCAAAAATTCTTTCACCAATATTTAGAATGGAACTTCAGGGTGGACATAGGCTGTATATTATTCCGTTAAACATTCATAAAATTAAAAGATATCATCTAGGATTAAGGCTTTTATATCCAACAGGTGGCGCTAACTCTGCCAGTATGACGACCTAAGTTTGCTTTTCTGTGAGGCATTATGCTTTTCTGTGAGGATGAACTAAAGCAGATCATCTATCTACAGTAGACCCCCCTATAACACTTAGATACGTTCCACGCTAACCAAAAATTACGTTGTAGGAATGATTAAATACGTGAGCCAATCGAAGCCCGATAGGTGGGAACTTTACGGACTAAGGCTGTACAAAAGGTTTTCTACTATAAAATTAACCGATTCTAGACTAATTCCACTCAACATTTCCAAAATACGTATAATTTTTTGAGAATAATCTGTATAAACTATGCTATAAACAAAAAATTGTAGGATTACTTACACCGTTCGACTACGCCGTTGCTTAAAGCTGGTTTTCATCGCGGAACAGCACGCGAAA